TGTAGTCCGAGAGCCCAGGATCCAGTGTGGACGGCTGGGCGAACTTTAGAGGGGCTGGCGTGTGCTCCCGAACCTGGAAGACCCTTTCCCCTCCTCCTACGAGCGAGCGACATGCATATTCAGGTAATGAGGCAGCCCTACCCCGAAAGCCAGGAGGGTTCTACTGGTGCAACGCCCTGGCCCCTCAGCCCGTTGCCCCATCTATGCATTAATCCAATGTTTACCAGTTTTTCGGGACACCATTTTGACTATTCTCCACCTCCCACCAACATGCTTTTTGCTCTTGGTGTGTGGTCAAGATGGAATGAACTAATCAGGAAGGCCCTTAGTCCCCAGCCCCTGGGGAACTCCTACACATCCTTCAGGACCCGACACAACAGGCACTATGTGGCAGCTTAGGGGTTCTTAGGAGTTCCATCAGCCAAAGAGGGATGGAGAGCCAGCAAAGCGGAGGGTCTTCCCCATGGGGGACAACTGGGAAGGTCCTGAGATTAGATTTGGGCTTTTCCAAGATAGGGGAAGGGCCTTCCCTGTGCTGGGAACTATATACATACAACTGTGCTCACCTCCAATTCCATTGTCCCCACCTACCTCCCAGGCCTCCTTTTCTCATCTGGACAATGGCCTCAGCCAGGCTGAAGATAGGCTGCCCTTGGCTAAGGGCTGGGCAGGTCCCAGGTCCCAGAAACTTAGGTGGGGGGTGGGGGTGAACCAGGCCCCATCCCCACCAGCTATGCCAAGGGAGGCAGGCCTGACTTCTGACCCTCAGAGGCAGCTGCCAAGCAACAGGGGCCTGGCTGTCCCTCTCCACCCATGCCAGTCCTGCCTAGCACTTCTCGGGTTGGGGCTGGATCTGGAAGAGGGACAGGTGAGGGAGCAGGATGGTGAGAAGAGGAAAAATGCTAAGAACAACAGCTTGAGTGCCTGATGTGTGGCAGGCACTACACAGATTTAATGCTCTCAACAGTTCTGAGGGAGGCAACAAAATGATCCCCGTTTACAGATGAGGAAGCTAAGACAGATGGGTAAAGAGCAGAGGGGCTTTGACTTGAGTTATGGGCAGAGTTGGCTGGAATGAGAGGGGTTGATCCCTTGGGCCACTGCCTATCCCACACTCAGCACAGGCAACTCAGGCCTGCTTCTGGTCCCTGCCCTGCCATCTACTGACAAGACCTGAGTCCCAATTGCTTCTTTCACAAAATGAGGGTCTCACACAGAGAAGTGTTAGAAATTTGTTAATTCCTATCCCAACTTCACCATTTAGAAGCTGTGCAGCCTGGAGCAAATTGGTTAAGCTCTCTGTGCCTCAGTTTCCTCGTCTGTAGAAATGTGGATAATACTAGTACCTACCTCAAAAGGTTGTTGTGAAGATGAGATGAATTAGTACTTGTGAAGCCCTTGGACTGTGCCAGGCAGACAGGAAGAGCCGTGTGAGTGGTAGCTGTTATTAAGTTCTTACTAATTGCTATTGGAGCTCTCCTCCTCCGTCACCCCAGGCCAGTCCCTGCCCTTCCTCAGTCTCCGTTCTTTGAAATGATGCTTAGTCATCAGGTAGTAAGCATCCCCACTCTGCTCACAATCTAGGGGATGGGACAGAGCTGAATGGAGGCCAGGACCACCAGGAGTTCGCCGTGCTGTGCTGTGATGGGGGCCACGCAGAAGCATGTGACCCAGGGCAGGTGTCCTGGAGGGAGGGGCACGATTCAAGCTGAGCTGAAACAGGTAGAGAGGCTGGGGGGTAGGTAGACAAGAGGAGGGTCTCCTGGCAAGTAAGGGTTCTCACAGTGTCAGAGCTCCCCCACACTTGTTCACAATAGATTCTAGGCCCACCAAATGTGAATGCCTGTGGAGTGGGATCCCAGATTCTGGATTTTAAAACAGGCCTTTCCCAGGCCCAACTTGCCCCCGTCCCCAAAGCCAGGCAGGGTTTAGGAAGGGCACTGGGGAAGGGACCATCTCCCAGGCTGGAGGACCTGGGGGACTAGTAACTGCCTTTCCCTCCCCCTTGAGGGGCAGCCCGACCTCTGGTTACCAAGAGGGCCCAGGCGACAGCCAGGTTGCCAGGCCAGGACTGTTCCTTGCTGAAAGCAGGAGATAGGGTCTTCAGTGACCTTAAGGGCCCCCACCCCTCTCCTGGGGATGGAGGAGCAGGCTGCCGAGTCAGCGCTGGAAGAGAGGCTGCTCCCTCCTTCACACTCAGGGCAGCCTCTGGCCAGGGAGGAGCTGCTACCTTCTCGGCATTTTCTAGGTGAGGCGGCCTCTCCCTGCCCTCTCCTTCTCCTAGGCCACCCCAGGACCCTACCCCAGCACTGAGGTGGGACCCAAGTCTGGCTTCAAATCCTAAGATATCCCCTTGCCAGCTGGGTGATGTCAGGTCAGGCTTGAGCCACCTTGAGCTTGTTTCCTCATCTGTAATGTTACAAGGACTAAATGAGATGATTCAAAACAGGAGTTGAGCACAGGGCCTGGCAGGGTCCGTATCTAGTGAGTCAGCTATTTTAGGACTCGCTTCAGGACATGCTGGCGTTCTTCCAATTAGCAGACTAGCTTCTGCCGTGGGACCTTTGCACGGATCTCTTCCTTGCCTGGAAAGCCTGGGCTCATTTAGCCAAGCCCCTCTCTTCCTTTTGGTCTTACTTAAATGACACTCCTCCAGGGAGCCTCCTGACAGCTGTTTCCCCGCTGGATGCCTCCCTGCCTGATTCTGACGACCTTTCTTCAGCACCACCTACTTGACTTCTGTACGTGTGCACTGCGTGGCTTGACTTCCCAGCTTGAGAAGGCCCTCCGTGAAGGCGAGGTGTTTTTTTAATTTAATTTTATCCAATTTCATTTTATTTATTGGCTTGAGAGCGAAACACCGATTTGTTGTTCCACTTATTTACTTCATTGGTTGATTCTTTTTAAAAAAACATATTTTTTTTGATTTCAGAGAGGGAGAGTGATAGAAACATAGATGAGAGAATCATTGATTGGCTGCCTCCTGCCCACCCCACACCGGGGATCAAGCCTGCAACCTAGGCATGTGCCCTGACCTGGAATCGAACCCACAACCTTGGCATATCAGGATGATGCTCTAACCAATTGAGCTAGCTACCTGGCCAGGCCAGAGCTAGGGTTTTTTGTTTTTTTTATATATTTTTTAGTTAATCCTCACCCAAGGATATTTTTCCACTGATTTTTAGAGAAGGGAGGGGGTGTAGATCGAAGAGCGGAAAAACATGGATGAGAGAGACATCGATTGGTTGCCTCCCACACACGGCCCCAGGCTAGGGATCAAACCTGCAACCAAGGTACATGAAGCTCTATCCACTGAGCCAAACCAGCTAGGGCCAGGGCTGTTTTTAATGCTGTTCATTGCTGTGCTCGTGCCTAGAATAGTGCCTGGCACATAGTAGGTACTTGACACAATTTGAAAAAAAAACAATTTTTTAAGATCTAAAGCAAATATGACAAAATGTTAATGTGGGTACTTCTGTGACTTATTTTAAGTATTTCTCAGTGTGTTTGAAATATTTAATTAAAAAATAACAATCCACACTATTTAGGAAGCGAGTCCACAAGAGGTGATGGCTGATGGGAGTGGGAGGTGGGGCAGGGAGGTGAATAGGGGTGGCCCTGAGACAGCCTGGCGAGCACTGAGGGTGTCCTCAGATAAATGCTCTGTCTGTGCATCCTCCCTTTGAATGCTTGCAACAATCCTGGAGATAGATGTGAGGAAAATCCCACTTTACAGACAGTAAACGGGAGCAAAAGGTAGAGAATGACTTGACCTGTGGAGGGAAGGAGGGGAAAAGGGAGACAGAGTAGGGGCAGCAAGAGAAGTGGGAGGAAAACCAGGAGAGCCTGGCTGAGGGAAGAGGACCCAGCCTTCCAGGAGCTGGCCCAAATCCCAGCCGAGGCCACAACGCTCCTCTGGTGCCCAAATGACAGGCATCTTCTTCTTGGTCCCCCCGCCCCAGGGGTCTGGCAGGCCGGGAATTCCTGGAGTGGGGTCTGGGCTGGAAGGAAATGAGGGGGGAAAACAAGCAGGATGTGGGGACTGACTGGGAGACCACTGGGGAGCCTGAGCCAGGGGAGGGGGGGGTTTGAGCCCCTCACCCTGGGTGGTATGCAAAATGAAGTTGGCTCTAAGGGCGCTCTTTAGGGCCCAGGTAGGGGAGGTGGCAATGGATCTGGAGCCCTCAGTCAACAGACGGTGAACAGTGTGTTGGGCATCAGTCAAAGAAAAGCCAACCAGGCAGGGGGAGGAGTGTTAGGCAGACCCGGCCTGTCCTCATTTCCTAAGGGAGGCAGCAGGTCACGAGAAAAGTGACCTGCCTGGCCTGTGTGGCTCAGTGGTTGAGCGTCGACTTATGAACCAGGAGGTCAGGGTTCAGTTCCCAGTCAGGGCACAGGCCTGGGTTGTGGGCTCTATCTCCAGTGGGGGGTGTGCAAGAGGGAGCTGATCAATGATTCTATCTCCTCATTGATGTTTCCATCTATCTCTCCCTCTCCCTTCCTCCCTGAAATCAATACAAATGTATTTTTTTAATAAAGGGAGAAAAGTGACCTGCCCAAGGTCACATGGGGTAGATGATAATGCTCCTCTGGACCTGCAGCCAGTGTGCCTCTCTGGGTGCGGGGCTCTGAGCCAGGACGCTTGGTGTGCGTTTCTCAGCTCATGCTGGGCCACAGGACTTTGGGATTAAGGTACCTGCCCCTGCAGGGAGGTTCAGGTTTGAGGCTCCAGGGACTGAGCAGGGGCTGAGCAGGCATTGTCACAGGCCTGTTAGAAGGTGGAGTTCTGTGCTTCATTCCTCTCTGTGGCCCCAAGTTCCTGTTTCTTTCTGGGCCTCAATGTACTCATCTGCACAATGGGGGTAAATATTAATGGCTACTATTTAACAACACTGAGCACTTAGTCTGTGCCAAGGACCATAGTCATTCCTTTAATCCTATGCTCATTTTACAAAGGAAGAAACCAAGGTCAGAGGGGTGAAGTAATTTGCCTCAAATCACACAGCTAGTACATGGTAGAGTCAAAATATGAGCCCAGGCCCCAAATTAAATAAGACCATTTGAAAAGGGTCTCACAGTGAGAGTCCAGGAGAAGGGGGGAGTGAGGGCCTACTCTCCCACCCTGGAGGACACTCTGGGCTATGCTGAGGGTAGCCAGTGGTCTGGGGAGCCCAGAGGCAGCCCTGAGGAGGCTCCTAAGGCAGAGAGCACCGGCATGTGCAAAGCCCCTGTGCGTCCTGAGTCCCCTGGCTGAGGAGGGCAATAGTAGGGATCCTAAATTCTTGCCCCTGGGCCTCAGTTCCCCATCCAAAGCAAAGGACAGCTGCCCCTGCCCCACTCTGAAGCACTGTCACTTGGACTCTGCTGCCCCATTGTGGGCGCAGGGAAGAACTGCACAACGAGCACCCTAAAACCTAATTAGAGGACCCCAGTCCCCACAATGCCCAATAATGGCTCCAAGAGCCAACTGTGGAATTTTAAGAATTTTTGCAAGTCAGTTGTTAAAATAAAACCATTATTAAAAATTAAATTATATAAAATTAAAACTATATTATATTAAAAGCAAAAGTAATGTTCAAAACTAAGCACTTCCTAATTTCACTGTATTTTGCTATTGTCTGTTCTCTTTTTTAAAAAAATATTCATCCTAGGATATATTTTTAAAAAATATATACATTTTATTGATTTTTTACAGCGAGGAATGGAGAGGGATAGAGAGTTAGAAACATCGATGAGAGAAACACCAATCAGCTGCCTCCTGCACACTCTCCACTGGGGATGTGCCTGCAACCAAGGTACATGCCCTTGACTGGACGAACCTGGGATCCTTGAGTCCACAGGCCAACGCTCTATCCACTGAGCTAAACCGGTTAGGGCACCTAGGATATATTTTTATTGATTTTACAAAGAGGAAGGGAGGGAGAGAGAGACATCCATCAGTTGCCTTCCACATGCACCCCAACCAGGGGTCGAACCTGCAGCCTAGGTATATGCCGACTGGGAATATCAAACCCACAACCTTTTGGTGTACAGGATGCTTCAACATTAAGCCACACAGGACAGGCTAATTAAACTCTGGAGTAGCCAGACTTAAAACAGTAACAGAAAAACAGCTGAGATTAATTTAACTAGTATATTTTATTTAACCTGGTATGTCCAAAATATTTCAACATATAATCAATATAAAGTAACTAATGATATCTTTTACATTTTTTTTCCATTACTAACTCTTCAAATTCTGGTGTTTATTAAAGCACATCTCGGTTCAAACTAGCCACATCTCAAGTGTTCAACAGGCAAATTTTCCAGTGGCTGCCAGAGTGGACAGCACAGGACTAGACTTAAGAAACAGATGGAACCTGGCTGGTCTGGTTCAGAAGGTTGGAGGCTCATCCCGTACACCAAAAGGTGGTGGGTTTGATTTCCAGCCAAGGAACATACCCAGGTTTCGGGTTGGATACCCAGTTGGGGCGCATGCAGGAGGCAACCGATTGATGTTTCCTACATCGATGTTTCTCTCTCCTTTCCTCTAAAATCAATTTAAAAATTTTTTAAATAGGTGGAAAAATATTAAGGATGCAGATTAAATTTAAAAGTAGTGCTGAGGCTGAGAAATTTCAATCCAGTTAACAATTTGCTCAACGATGAGAAATCTGTATGTCATGTACAAAATTTAATGATAATAAATTAACTGCTGCCCTGAGCAGTGTGGCTCAGTTGGTGGCAGCGTAGTCCCATATACTAAAATGTCGAGAGTTTACTAGTCAGGGCACATACATACACAGGTTGTGGGTTTGACCCCAATTGGGGCATGTGCAGGAGGCAACGGATCAGTATTTCACTCTCACATTGATGTTTCTCCCTCCCTCTAAAATCAGTAACAGCATGTCCTCAGGTGAGGATTTAAAAAAGAGAATCTGGTACAAGAGCAGTGTAGTCGGCTTAACAGTGGCCCCCAAAGATATCAGGTCCTAATCCCTGGCACTTATCCATGTTTTATATTTTACATTTTTTTAACCGTGCAGATGTGATTAAAGATCTTTACATGGGGAATATTTTTGGTTCTCCAGCTGGGCCCTAAATCCCATCACACAAGCGTCCTGAGGAGATGGAGGCAAAGGGAGATTTGGTAAACAGAAGAGAAGGCAACGTGGCTGTACGACCAGGAGTTTCAGTACCCACCAGAAGCCGCCAGAGGTAAGGACTAGAGCCTCCACAAGAAGTGTGGCCCTGCCAACACCCAGTAATAGCGATTTTGGGTTTCTGACCACCAGAACTGTGAGAAAATAAATTTCTGTTGTTTGTGGTAATTTGTTACTGCCGACACAGGAAACTAATACAAATAGATGGGATGGAACTCCATTAGCCATATCGTGGTTGAATTAGTACCACAGGTAGGCTCTAAATATAAGAATTCAGAAAAAAAAAATCAACAAAAGCATTCTGTGAAAAACTGGCTATACAAATTTATGATAAAGAATATTGTATATTTTATTTGTACTTTATGTGCTATACATCTTTTATATCAGTACAATTTATAATAACATGTGTGTATATGACATATACCAGGTCTGTCTTGTATCCTCAACACCCAGCACAGAGCTTGGTGCACAACAGGACACTCAAATATTTTTTGAATGAACATGACTTTGGACCTAAGTTTCCCCCACCACACAACAGGGTTGGAGGAATGAGATGGGCTCCCCAGGTGGGCAGTACTGGTGCCAGATGTTGTTAGAGCACCTACTGTGTACAAGACCGGTCTGGGGGCAGGCTGATGGGACATAGCAGCTGGCCCAAACAGCTGGTGCCCCAGGAGATGGCTGGGAACAGTCAGGTAGGGGATCTCCCATTCCCTTAAGGTCTCTGCAGGCTTGGGGACTGCTCAAGGGATTATCACAGTCCAAGAGATGGGGTGCCGAGGAGCCACTGTACAGCTACAGAGACGAATGCCAAGGACACAGCAGGATCTGCTAGGGCGGGACCCTATTTCTCTAAGTTCTCCTGTCCCTCAATCCTGCAGGGCAAAGGGCCTCTTTTACCCAGGGACTAGGGAACCAGGGTCTGGCTTGTCACAGCTACAGAAGAGCCCTCTCGGTTCCCAGCTTTCCATGTGAGCCCCCATTCCATGCTCCTAATCAGGAGCCCAGGCATAGAGGGGTGGGTGCGTACCTCTACATGTATACTCTAGCTCATCTTTGGCAGTCACTTTCCCTCTCAGCTCCAATGTCTCCTCCCTGGGGCATCCAGGGCCCAGTCTGCAGCCAGTGGCTGACCCCTGTAGGCCCAACTGGCCAGATCTGTTACCGATTTGCAGGACAATTGTTGGATCTGGACTTTCCTCTGTTAAATGGGCAGTTAAGTGGCTTTTCAGGTTTCCACAATAAGAATTTGGCCAAGCAGACTGGCTCTGGGCACTGGAAGCAAATGAAGAAGACTCTAGGCCAAAGCCCCTAACCAGAACCTGGGAGCCAGGTCTGGGATCTGGAGGTACTAAAACCCTCTGGGCCCCAATCCCACTCCATCGCAAAATGTCTGCTGTGTCCATATACCACAACTCCACTGGTATGAATTCTGAAGGCAAGGACCAGGATAGTTTTGCTCACTATTGGGGCCACAGTGTGGGATTGCCCAGAATATAAGAACTCAGTTATTTGTTTAATGAGCAAAACCACTTGTGTGTCTTCTACAAAGACCAGGCTCTCCCCCTGCCTTTGCTCATGCTGTCCTTCCTTCACTAGCACACATCCTCTGATCACCCCTAGGAAGAGGAGCTTCCAGAACTCAGCAGGGTAGGATCCTGGCTCCTGGGAGTGGGAGAAAAAGCAGAAGTCCAGTCCACCTTCAGCCCCTGGGCCTGTGTCAGCGATTGGTCATCTCCTCTGGAGCCCTAGTGGACAATAAACTCTGCTCACCACCAACCCCCCATTCAGAGTTTAAAGAGAAAATGAAGGGATGAAGGAAGCACCAAAGGCAAGCCCTCTTTTATGATAGCATCAGACAACTGTTTCAAAATATATTAGATTTGGTTTTTATTGTAGAGCACACATATCAGGGCAAAGTGCTGCACATACAACTACAAATCATTGAGGGGGGAGGGGGAGCTGTAAAAAAAAAAATGCAACTGCCTTAGTTATGCAGTTCCAACTTGAGGATCCACGCTGGCAAAGGAGTTCTGGCCCTGAGAAGGGCTTCCTAATGGTGGCTGCCCCCAATTTCTGCAGCCCCAGACCTAGGACCCTATAAACAAGGTCCTCCCCATGGTGGTGGCAACGTGGGGAATCTGCTCTCAGGCCTAGCAAGGAAACATTTCTAACAAATCTAGACCAGCAAAACCTCACAGCCCTCGAGAATCTGAGGAGGTGGAAACTGCCAAAGACTACTTTTTCCCCTCCTATTACTATTTTTTAAAAGCCCCTTCCCCAGCTCCCATGCCCCGAGGCAGAAGAGACACTAACCCAGTCTGCAGACCTGGGCTCTGGCCTTGGATGTGTGCTGCAGGCAGGCAGAGGGGCAGACACCTTTCTATGGGGGTGACACGGGGAGAAGGCCCAAACTGGCCAATGTAGATGAAAGGAAAGGAAAAGGAAAAGAACGAGACCAAAGGGGGGAAAAAAATCTAAACAAAAATCCTGCTACACACCACAACTTTCCATCCCCCAAATGCTAGACTTGGAAGGACACCAGCCCTTCTAGCTAGAAACAATTTCTAAAACTGTCCCAACATGGCCAGTCTAACTGTTCCATACAATCACACGTATATGCCCGAAAGGAGCAATCCAGCAGAGGTATGCTCTTGGCAAGAGGTCAAGACCGCTGCAGCCAGGGACCTGTAGGCAAAGCAGGCCAGTGGGCATGGAGGAAGCCCTGGCTCGGCCAATAGCTCTGGGGTGCAGGGGCTGGCACTATTGAAGCGCCTGCTCAGTCATCCTGAATGATTCTGCAGCAAGAGGAAGAAGGTGTTTGTGTGACTTTCCAGAGCCTGGTGAGCAGGTGACAGGTAGGACAGCAAGGCCCAGGAGACCTCAGCCCAGCTTAAACATGGGGGGGCGGGGGGGGGGGGGGGGGGGGGAGTGGTTACAGGGACAACTTCATTCACAACACTGAGAAAATTTACATATAAAGCAAAACAAGAATTTTCTTAACCAAAACATTTTGTTGCTTTTAAATAAAACCAGCCTGACACAGCCCCACTTGATGATGGTTGCCCCGCGTTCCTCTACTAGCCACTCCAGAGTGAGCTGTCAGCCTTTCCATCCAAGAGGAAAACCAGGAACCAATTCTGTTCTTTAGCCTCAACAGGCAACAAACCAAGGAAAAATAAAAGGGTCCAAACAAACAAAAAACAAACAAAACCCCTCAAAACGAAACAAAAAGGGGGTGGCTACGTGAGGATTAACCAGAGTTCCCGAGAGGATGCAGTGGGCCTCAGTGCCTCCGCATCTTCACCTTTCGGGTGGGGCTGCCCGCGGCCTCTGAGCAGTCCTCCGACTCATAGGACTTGCGCCAGTAGTTCTCAGAGCTGAAGCTCCCCCTCCGCCGGTGTGTGGGCAGCAGCACTGAGCGTCGGTTCTCTTCTTTGTCCATCTCCAGGATCCTAGGCCTGCAAGGGGCAGGGTGGAAGCAGTTACAAAGAGGCTGGCATGGCCACAGGGCCTCCCACCTCTGCACCAAGCTCTGACCCTCATTTGCAGGATGACTCACCACCATTCTCCCAGAGGGCTGTACTGGCAGAAGCAATGGCATTGTTTCCCTGTCCACTAAGTGCTAGTGGTCACTCCTACTCGTTGAGACACTTCCTAAGTACCCTGTGGGGTCTGCATGGCTCTGAGTCTGGTGCCCAAGGACACTGCCAAGGCTGCCGTTTGTATAGAAAAAGGCCCTCCCTATACAGCCTAACACCCTGCACAGTCCTGCCATCTCCCTCCACTTCTCAACCCCCCAACTTACTCCCCCTTTCTCTCTGCCCACCAACCCCACTAGCCCCTGAAACCACCAAATTCTTCCTGCCTCAGTGTTTTAGCCCCTGAGTATCTCCTGCCTACATTGCCCTGCCCACAGGTCTTCCTCATCTGTTTGGTCTTAGCTTAAACCAGCCATGGGCAAACTACGGCCCGCGGGCCAGAAATGAATAAAACTAAAAAAAAAAAAAAAGACCATACCCTTTTATGTAATGATGTTTACTTTGAATTTATATTAGTTCACACAAACACTCCATCCACGCTTTTATTCCGGCCCTCCGGTCCAGTTTAAGAACCCATTGTGGCCCTCGAGTCAAAAAGTTTGCCCACCCCTGGCTTAAACAGTACTTCCTCAGGAACCATCCCCAATCCTTCTGAAATGGGTCTGGCCCACTAGCTTCTGAGTCCCAAGCTTTCACAGTTAAGTATAAGCCACAAGAGTGCTTGTCTGGGTGGACTGGAAAAGGGAAATCACGGTCAGGCCATGAAGCATTCCCATTTGTCAGAGTCTGGGCCTAACCTCTTCTCTCTGAGGATACAGGCAATCAGGGGTTAAGTGTGAATGGCACCAATGCCACCAGCCCAGGGGAACTAGACATAAAGCTTGAGAAATGTGGGCAATGCCAGGCTCCTAACCACCTATCCCAGGCTCTTCCCTATCCATCTCACTCTGAAGCTAGGCCAGGGGGCTGCTTTGCTAGCCTTGTTGAGGGTCCTAAGCTGAGTACCTGTGAGCAGCGTCGGGGTCTGCCTTGCGGTGAGACCGCTTGGGTTTCAGAGCAGCGTCCCTGTTGTTTCCTGACAGGCGATCTGAAGCATAGCTGGGTGGTAACACGGAGCTGCTCAGGGACTTGGTCTCCAACCGGGGCGCGTCTAATCTAGTCCTGCAAAAGAAATAGGCATCGGGTCATCACGGGCCTCTGGTGGGGGTATGGATCCTAGCAGACCAATTCTCTCTCCAGGCCGGCTGAGTGAGGAGGCCAGGAGCTCGACTCTGTGCCTCTGTCTCTTGTGGTTCAACTAAAGATTGGTCTGGCTGACTTCCAAAGACACTTCTTAAGTTCAGGCTTAGGAGCAGGGAACAAGAATACTTCCGTATGGAGACTTCCATGACAGAAATCGGCTGCCCCAGGGAAAAGATCCCAGGGCACTCTTTGAGTTGGATGAAGCAGCCTCAGACCCAGAGGTTCTCTGGACATTTCCACTTGCCAGAGGACTGAGAGCCCTCTGATGGGCACCAACATACTCCAACAGACAACTTCACCCTTGCCTAAATGCCAGGCAGGGAGGTTCTCCTGGCCAGGCCTATGGACGGCTGGAGGGGAACAGAGTAAGAGTTTCCCCCACTCTCACTCAGGGACAGAGGCTGTGGCAGAACCAGGAGAGCCCAGGCCCAACTCCACATTCATGTACTGGGCTCTCATCCCACCACAGTCACCTGGCAGCTTCTGTTTATTCCAGGATACTGACCAGGCCAAGGGCTTTTGAAGGCAAGTTCTCATGGAGCACCGGGTATGAATTTCAAGGAATACAATGCCTACCTAGTAAAGGAAGAAGATGCAAGCAGAGTCAAGGAAGAGGGGTTGGAGAAGCTGGGCACGGAGGTATCAGGGCAGTGATCTGAAGCCAGAGTAGGGAAACTCAAAGAAGCCTAAGGCTCCTTGCACGGTACCGAGAAGGCTGGCAAGTCAGGCTGGTACAGCAAGGAGCAGGAGAGAGGCCTGGGAGGGGGTAATTGGTGCACAGCTGGCAGAAGGCCCCAAAGGCAATTTCCCACAGGCTGCTGGGCACAAAGTAGTAATTTGGTTCTGAGGAAAAAGGTGCTGTGATCAGGGCAAGACTCAAAGGACATCCTCACAAAATTACTGAGAGGAAGTGGGGCTGGGATCAGAGGCTGCCTTGCCCTAGTCTGCCTGGCATTCTTGGTAACAACTGCACCCAGTCTTCGCAGCTCCCCCTACCCCTACTGGCTGGCCTGCTGTAAATAGATGGGGAAAGCTGGGTCAGAATAGTAAGTTACGTGTCCGGGAAGTCTTGGAGAAAGGTTTAAGCCTAGGTGAGACTCCAAGCCAGCCAGGCAAGAGTCACAGGGCTCTGAACCTGGGCAGGGGTCTTCTCCTAAGAGCAGCAGGGGGCACCTTCTAGCTCGGAATACATGTTCTGACGCCCTCAGGCTCAAACGAGCGGGCAGGAAGGCAACATAACTGTCCCTGTCCCTTTGCTTTGGCCTCACAGAGGCAGAGGCCACAGGGGCACAGCTTCTCCAGCCTCAGCCTCCACTCTGGGCTCAGGGAAGGAGGACCGAATAGCAAGAGAAAATCCAGCCCTGATCACCATCCCTCTCTGGGCCTCAGTTTCCCCATTTGAGCAAAGAAGGAAATGTGACTGGCTCTAAGGCCTCTTTTAGTTCTGAGGGTCTAGAAACCAAAGATAAGTCCTAGGATTCTTTAGAGAAGCACCAGGAAGAGGTAGTGCTGGGCAACACCCAGACATGAAGGTGGGAATTAGAATCACCTGATCCCCAAAGCCCTCTTTACCAGGCCAGACCTCATGTCCCTATGCTGAGAGGTCCAGGCAGCAGAGATAAGACCAAATAAGACATTAGCCATTAAGCTTGACTGCAAGGACTCCAAGGGTCTGAAGCCTCATGGAGGAACATCTCCTTTTGGCACCACTAAACTAATCCTACACTAAGATGCCACAGGTGCCAGGGACCACACACTCAGGGCAGAAAAGCCCCTGATACAGAAAGCCCTGGTGGGCAGGGCCTAGCTCCCTGGAGTTGTTTCCTTGGATTAGTGACAGATGGCAAGAGAGCAGCAGAGCCACCACGAGGAGAGCCCAAACTACACACCTCGGGGGCCAAGAAAACACAAGCACATCCTGCCACGCTGGCACAGGCCAAGTCCTGGTTTGCCCCGCCCTAAAACTGCTTACTAGCTGAGTGGCCTGCCTGGGCAGCCCGGGCACAGTGGTGATGGCCCCTCACTAGAGTTCTAGGACTGCTGGAGAAGCTGGGAAGAAAGTGACAACCAGCTGAGACTGGAGAGACAGGACAGGGACCTGGACTGGCTCTGCTGCTCTCTAGCTGCCTAAGTGAGGAAAGGGTACTGTTCTCCGCACATGACTGCTCTGTTGTTATCACGGGGCAGCCCTCAGAGGAGGGATAATCAGAAGTGCCCTACCAGAGTCCAGAATCACGTACTCATTTTGGGGACAGTATAAGCTTTGGGGCTCCAAAGGGTTCCCAACCCATCCCCTGGGGCTGTTACAGGACATCTCAGAAACGCTGGAGAAGCTCTTGCCCTCCCTCCACATCCAAAAAGCCACAAAGCTGCAGGAAGCCAGGCTAGAGCCAGATTCCAAGCCGAGAGGCCACCAGCAGCTTAACTTCAGACCAAACCCCTCTTCAAAGGCCAGGGAGCAGGCCAGGCCCTTTAAGGTTCAGTGTGCAAAGCCACAGATTGGGAGTAAGGAAGCCCAGTTCTAGCAGTAAGGTCTGGGCCCCCTCAGGTGGCAACAGGAACGAAGGAAGACCTGCAGCACAGATCTGAGTCAGCATCCCCGTCACAGCAAGGCACCACAGCCACATGAAGCGAGGATTAACAAGGCAGGGACTGAGCCTTGGTATAGGGCAGCGGTTCTCAACCTGTGGGTCGCCACCCCTTTGGGGGTCGAACGACCCTTTCACAAGGGTCGCTTAAGACCATCAGAAAACACATATATAATTACATATTGTTTTTGTGATTAATCACTATGCTTTAGTAATGTTCAATTTGTAACAATGAAAAGACATCCTGCATATCAGATATTTACATGACGATTCATAACAGTAGCAAAATTACAGTGATGAAGTAGCAACGAAAAAAAATTTATGGTTGGGGGTCACCACACCATGAGGAACTGTATTAAAGGGTCTCGGCATTAGGAAGGTTAGAACCACTGGTCTAGGGGAAGCCAGAACAAAGGGAGGATGACAGCATTAATGTAACACATTACCACGGGACCTGAGGGGATGGGGAGTTGACTCTGTTCCTTTATCACTCGGAATCCTCCAGAGAAGCTGCTAGGGAGGCTTATACCCACTGCAAAGGTGGGAAGCAATGCTGAACTGGAGACCAAGTCCCTTGCCTCAGTCACACAGCTACAACCCTACGATGGCTTCTGAAGCCCAGGTGGGTTTGCATCACTGCAGAACAGGGCAGTGCAGACAGACCACCACCAGTCTGAGCTTCAGGGTCTGCTGCCAACCACTCCAACTTCTGGCTCCACCTTCACCAAGCACCCTTTTGTGCTATAAAGCCTGGCTTTCCCAAGGGAGGCAGGAAGCAATGTGGTGGGCATATCTGAGTACACCCTTGTCTACTGAGTGACCAATGGGTAGGGCGTATGCATGTGGACACACACTCATTGGACCAGAGAAGAAAGGGGGACTAACCCTTGGCACAGGAGACAAGAATCATGAAGACAGAAGCGATGGCAGGAGTCACGGGGGATGATGTCTCAGGCCTGGCCAGAAGCTGTCTCCTCATCCCCATCCCTCGGGGCAAAGCTGAGTATGCCTTCCAGTCTCCCTTCAGCTCATCCACACACACAGCCTCACACTAGAGCTTTCAGGGAGGGTCTCCCCGGACCCCTGAGATCCCTTGACCTGAATGATCAAATAAGCCATTTAGCTCAGCCTCCTCCAGACAATTTCTCGCCTGCAAATCCCTCACCCCACTGCTCACATGCTTCAGCAGCTCCCCAGCACCTCCAGATTTCTCTGCACAGCGCGAAGTCTTTTCTGACGGTCTTAGATTGTATCGATTGCTCCTACCGATCTCTACTCTGTGTTCCAGAATGGACTACCTCCAAGTCCCCAGACTTTAAGCCTCTGTAAAGAGCATCTCTTCTGCCTGAACTGTCTTTGCCCCTAAGCCTCTTCTGTGCTGTGTGAAGCCCATACATCCTTGACTACCTTCAGGTAGCATGTCTCTGTAAAGCCTTCCAGGCTACTCCCTGGTGAAATGCTAAATGTCTGCCTTTCCCCAAAGGACAAGGGAATGAGAAGAGACCCCTTTCCTGGTACTGGCACAGAGCCCAGCTCATGCCAGCCTTAGTTAACACTTGGCAAATGATACTCCAGCTGCTTCTTCCAGCTTCAGCCTACTCTGAGATGAGCACCATTTACCGGAAAGTGTATTCCCTGAGCCACTTTATGTAGTGAACTGTAGAGCACCCCGTGCAGGAATCAAGTCTTGTATACAAGCCTCGGGATTCCTGAAGACTAATGGATTGGATGCCCTGGTCACCAACTAGAAGTCCATGAAAGTCCAGAGCTCTCTCCTGAGATCAAGTGTTGATCCAAGGCCTCCTTCTCCCGTATCACCCCTCAGCTACAGAGGTCCTCTAAACTTCCTGTCTTTGAGCTTATCATTTCTGCCTAACAAGCAGTGTCTAGCACAGGGGCCAGATCACCAAGCTTTTTAAATTTTGAGAATACGTTTATTAAAGCTAGAGACGGTGAAATGAGGAAGAGCTTAGGTTATAAGAAGCAACAGGAGAGCCTGGGCAGCGCTACATTGGCTCTCAAAAATGTTACAAGAAAGGAGTGAGCCATGCGGGGGTGCTCTGGTTCATGGAAAATCAGAGAAAAGGGCCTTGGAAACAGGTTCAGGAGATACACCTGTGAGGGAAGAAAGGCATGGGCGTGCTCTCAAGCCTTTCTTAAACACCCTCCCCAAACCTACCATGCTGGATATAATTTTTTTTTTAATCCTCACCCGAGGATATGTTTTTATTGAAATTTTTTTAGAGCAAGAGAAAGGGGCGGGGAGAGAGAGAAACACTGATGCGTTGTCTCCTGTACATGCCCTGACCCGGGATTGAACCTGCAACTTAG